CGTTCATTACGTGTTGACGATTCACTATATATTTCCTATCTTCAGAACTGTCTAAAGTTTTTGTCAGACTTATTTTTATAATGTAATTATAATTAATTATGATTAATTATAAATAAACTAAGGGTGAACAATGCTATGATAAAGCCAGTTCTAATAAATGGCTGTGAGACCTGGACACTAACCATCACCCTAGAAAAAAATGTAGAAAGATTTGAGAGGAAAATCCTCCGCACGATAACCGGAGCGATCTGGGATGAGATTACTAACACATGGAGAAGAAAGACTAATAAAGAACTACTTACAGAACCTGCTCAATCAATATACCATGATATGAAGACAAGAAGGTTAAGACGGACAGGACATGTAACTCGTAGCAATCCATCTGGAAGGGTCTACGTAACAAGGCCTCAATAGAAGGCAAAGGACCACGTGGAAGGCCAATGAGCAGATGGATAGATAGAATAAATAAAGATGCAACAGAGCTGCGTGCAGATAAATGAAAAGAAATAACCCAAGACAGGTAGAGATGGATCAGGCTTTTTAAGTTGGCAAAAGATCTACATGGTCTGTTATGTCAATAGAAATAAAAAAAAAAACATTGTTACTTTAATTATTAAATACTGTATTTACAATTGAATTTACCAATTTTGTTGGTGTGCTAGTACATAAGTATGTATGTAGAATATAAGTATGTAGTGCATATAACGTTTAATTTTTTTCTTGTAATGGTCTCGTTATCTTTAGCTCTGTTATCAATTACTATATTTAATTAATTACTTAGATTTTAATTAACACGGTGGGGAACGGATACAAAATAAAATTTAATAAATTTAATGCAGTAATCAGCTATAGTTTTTAAATGTACGGTTTGAAGCCTAATGGAAAGAATAAATTTCAGTTGCAGCCTATGGTAAATATAGTAACTCATTTAAATAGATATGTCACTAACACGGACGTTTTAAGCATTCAACATCGAAGTGGTATTATGTCGACAAATATCGCGATTTCATAGTGTTCAGAGCTATGGGGTACTTGTATATGTATATGTAATAGATTTTACAAAAAAATCTTGCAAAAGTTAAATTTGCTTTTAAAAATACGATTTCTAAAGTTTGACGTAAATCTGTACCCTAAGTATTTTATACAGAATACAGAAATGCGCAGTTCAACATATGATCAAAGGAAAAGCAAGTGAATCTGAAAATATGTTCAAATTTTCAGAGTCTCTTGCTTTTCTTTTCACCTTGATTACTGCATTTAATTCATTAAATTTTATTTCATTCAACAGTCCTGTCACAAAATAATATAATAAAAAAACATCGTTTTGATTTTGATAATACAAAAATTCTAAATATTGTCAAACACACAAAAAACAGAAGAGCTAATAAACATCACTAAAAATATATAATATAAAATAAATTTCTAAACAGAAATAATTATTAACAGTTATTATCAAATTATTAGCACCCGCCAGAAACTTCATAAATAGCTTTATCTCATCGTAGCCTACAACTACTTTATTTACGGAAATTCTCCGAATTGGGGCGTTTTCAATCTGGAGATCAGCAAACTTTGTCTATTTAATTTATTAACTATTGAAAACTTGTAAATACCCATTTGGTTTCCTCTTCAGTCATAAGATAATTTGTGAGCACAAGATCGAGAAAAATAAGTGGCCTTCAAAAATAAAGAGCTGTTTGGCGTGACCTTTACCCCCAAAATGTCAAAATAACGTGGTTATGTGTGACCAATAGCCTAATGTTTTTGTAGGCCACCTTTTTTTCTCGATTTTGTGGTCTAATTATCTTACGATCCAAGTGAAAAGCGAATGGGTATTTACGAGTTTAATTAGTACCTAATTAAATGGACAATCTTTGCCGATCTCCAGATTGAAAATGCCCTTATTCCTAGAGTTTTCGTAAATAAAATAGTTGTAGGTTACGATGAGGCGAAGCTATTCATGAAGTTTCAGGCGGGTGTTAGTAATTTGACCAAAAGGGGTCTGTACAACGGACTATTATTTATATCTAGATTAAATTTTATTTTGTACCCGTTCCCCTCTCTAATTAATAAAATTGATAAGAGTGCCACTCCGAGACAAAATCAAACATGACATATAAGTATTACTATTTTATGCAAACTGTAATTATATAATCAAATTTACCATTATTTTTAATCAATGCTAAACCTATTATCAGAGACATTGTACTATCAGCAACTGGGATTCGGTTCTGTTCAAATTAATCGTGAACTGAAGTTCTATCGAGGGTGGAGGAAGTTGGGGCTGCCACACGGAGGATGAAGAAGTGCGGTGTAGGTGGGATGAAGAACCGCCCAACTTCGCCACTTCCCTTCCAACTCGGGGACATTTAATATAGAACCCGTCAGAAGGCTCGTCTTATTAATTCAACATTGACAAATTATTTTTCCTTCATATTTTTTTATTAATACTTCAAAAGAAATAAAATTGATTAAAATTTACTTTTTTTATGTTCGGGGAAATTGATTATTAAAGAAATAAAATTTACTTTTTTAATGTTCCGGGAAATTGATTAAAGTTAAATTAAAAAAAAAATATCGCAAAAGAAAAACCGTTACCTGTTAACACCATTCTTATGACTCTTAAATAATTTGCAATTTAATTTTTTTTTAATTTCTCTCTACATCATGACCTCAACATCCCATTTGTCCTTGACCTTATCCCAGAAAAATTATCAAAATTTTACCAGAACCTTACGTAACACCCAAATCCTCTTGCACAATCCCTAAGAACTACTCATCGCTATAATCCTCCAAGAAGGTTGAAACGGCAGTGACCTAGCGACCTTTTGTATATTGTATATATTGGAGTTCTGGCAATGGCCAGATTCTCCATTCAAGACATGAGTGTATGTGGCTAAAGCGCTCTCGATCAATCTCCGCTGGCTTTAGTACCAGTGACGCGGTTGGAAGAGTAGCGCAGGGTTCTCCTGGAGTTTCCTCGTCTGATTTTATATAGGTATGCATGTATTTTTTTGCTTAGTTTTAATTTTCTTATTTTTAGGTTATTTTATTTTATTGTTTATTGTATATAATTTTGATTATTATTTTGCTTCTATTTATTTTATATTTTTTGTACATATTGTGTGAATGTCAGCCTACCTCACTATAACCAATGTCCAAGAGACAGATTGTTGTAATACTCAATAAATAAACAAAAAAAAAAAATTACAGTTTTTATTGATATTACATAGATTCTACAAACAGATACCGTTCACCAACTTAATCTAATATTGGACTGAAAAAAGACACGGTACAGACTACATATATCGTAAAAAAAAACAGCACTAAATCAAAAACTAAGACTTCTAAATTCATTTCTCTGTAAACTCTTAACATTATAACTTATACAAAATTGAACACATATACTAACCGACTAAAACCTATTCGGACTTACGCAGCACAAATATTTGAAACAAATAAAACGATTCATACTAACGAACTTCAAATCTTTCAAGCTAAAACATTCAGGACAATTACGAAAACACCTTGGTACGTTATCAACACAACCTTACAGACGGACCTTCACATGCAAACTGCTAAAGAACTCATACGAACGTATTACAAACGATTCCATGATAAATTATAAACATACCCGTGAGCCACATGGGCACATCATACATGTCAGGCCACTTCCGTGGAAGGCTGAAGAGGAGCTGGTTGAAGGATCTCTTCGCCTAAGAATTAATATAAATATCACGCTAAGAGGTGCCGCTGGGTACTACTCTCCCTCATGCCTCTCACGCCATTGTTGATTATTTTTTTGACAGATGTCAATAAACATAATAAGTTTTAAAAAGACTTAGATTATTAGTAATGTTGTCTGTAAAATATTTACAAATTTAAAGTGTTCTAGACCCATCTTATTAATAGTATTTTTTCCGAAAATATTAGATTAATGCATTGTATGGAAGTATATCATCTGAAGGTTTATTTTTTATCCGTTTAAAAACCCGCTATAGCACGATTATAGGGAGCGAATATGAGACATATCCGAAACCGCGATACTCGTGTTATAGGGGTCCTAAAACGGATAAAAAATGGACCCCCATTCCTCTGTAATAAATTTACATGCAATGTACTTATATATTATTTTCAGAGAAAATATAAGTAATAAAATGGATCCAAAGCTGGTTTATATGTTGTAGGACTGGGTATCTTGAAGTAAAATCTTCTAAAATATTTGAAGTAAAATTCTGCACCAAGTTGAAGTGGCTCTATCCGTCCTAACGCCGTCAATATTTTATGGCTACCTTCCTATACCGAGCCATTACAACACGGCAACCTGCCTACATTCTAAAGATCCTACAATTCAAACGCTCCTTTCAATTCCGTCCCACCAGATCCCGTGCGTCCGACCTCTATCCTCCCCCTCACCGAACTACTGCATTTGACAAATCCTTTTTAATACAAGTTGTCTCCCTCTGGAACTCTATACCTTAAGATATTTGACACGCAAAATCGATATCCTCTTTCAAATCTCTCCTCTTCGAACACCTACTCTATTCCCAATCCGATTGATCACGAAATGCAATTAAAAACCTCAAAGTACACCCAGATACTCTGATTATTTTGTAATTCATCGATATTTCGTTCACTTAATTAATTTCTTTGTATATTTTATATTTACACGTATTTATATCTTTTCATCATTTATAACTTTATTGTACTCCGAATCGACCTGTAAATATTAAATAATATTTCATGGACACACCAAAATATTGATATGTATTCTGTATTTGTGACTTGTTCTATTGGGACACTAGTCCCAGAATAATAAAATTATTTTCATTTCATTTCATTAAATTCGTGAAATAAGTACTGAGCTAAATGAATCTGAGAATCTAACAAATGATGTTTAGAACCTTGCAATCTGCGATACATGCTCGGCCTAATAGTTATTAGTAATTCATATATTTACATATCAGAGCAATCAATTGATAATTATTTAGTTATGTCAACTACTTACCTACGAACCACGGATTCCTCTTGTTATTCTCTACAGTGAGGCTGAGGAAGTACTCCTCGAATCCTTTGACGGGATTGGCCTGCGGCTGGACGGAGAGGGTGCCTTCGACTTCTTCTTCGTTGCCGATGGACACCAGATCCCTCGCGGACCAGCCATCCGAGCCGATCCAGGAGAATATCTTGGAGGCGTTCATCCTCCGCACTGCACGCATCACTCCTGCCACTTCTTGGTCCGAGCCGAAGATGATTGCACCTGTTGATAAGAATAGATACTGAAATCCATTTCATCTTATTTATTACACAATAGATTAACAGATGTAATCCTGTTAATTACTGTCAGTGAGGTTTTTAATGATGAAATCATAGAATTTGAAAGCTTTATGAGAGAAATACTGAGTGAATTCTCTCTCTCATTGAAAGAGAATTGTTTATAACGATCACAATCCTCAGGACGTTTGGTAAAAACATATGTATTGGCTATATGGGGTGTCGTAGCAATCAAATGAAATAGTATCGTTTGAAAACCTCTGTGTAAAGAATCATTTTTCCTTTTCAGTTTCGATTACCTTCTTAAAAAAAATCATCTGAAATGAAAGAAGCACGATAAATCTGACAATTTCACTTGACTTTAACTAGGAGAGAATCACTTTAATTTCATAAAAGGGTGCTGTCTAATTAAATCGGGGTACTAGAGACACAGAGTACTTATCTAACAATACAATGAACAATCCTTAAAACTAATATACA